GGCATCCCCCCCTTTTTCTTAAGAGCTGCTTAAAATAAGACCATTAGGCCAAAGTTATCAGCAGCACAGAGCTGCTAACTCAGGAGTCGCTTCAGCTTCCCATTCAGAAAGGGTAAGTGCATGGTTTTAATTACAGGCAAGCCCATGGACATTGCAGTGAATACAGCCACTCGCCCCCTCCCAATTCCAGACACAAATGCTCCATTCCCCAAATTACTGCTGACTGGCCTGGGATTGGGTTTTATTGCAGACAAGCAAGCCAATTCTTTTGAGGGTGAGGTTAATTCAAGCAGCCCCATGTAGAGCTTTATTCTGCAAATGGTTAAATGCTTAACCATGCCTGCAGAAATTAGTCAAGTGCAAAGCAACCTCTCTAAGGGTTCGTGGGACTGAGGCTGTAGCCCCCTTTTCTCCCCTAGTTTCCCCAGTACTTTTCTCTGATGGGGAAAAAAAGTGAAGCTTCTAAAGATTGTGCTGTCTTCATTTATGGAATTATTTCAAACATCAGGATTCTATTAATTGGAGAAAACAGCAGATTTGTCCCAAAGTGGCAAACCTCACAATATCAAAATAACTCTCAAAACATTAAAATTAAAAAGTCTGCTCTTACTGCCTGGTCAGCAAACAGACTCTAGGAAAACCAGCGTGCATGCTAGGAAACAAATCAGTGCATTAAATGTGTGTTATCCAAAACTTCTGATCTTTCTTAGCTGCTGGTTTAGGAACACAAATTCTACTGCATTAAGCAGAAAAAGGGAATAGATATTTTTATTTAAAACAGAGTAACCCAAAGTGGCCATAATAACCCATTTGTGTTGCTTTCGTACTTGGGTAATGAATGACTGTAGTATAAAGTGCTCCTATTTTTTGCCTCAAGGTCTTGTCAATCATTACCTGATAAATAAAAACTTCAAACAGGCTCCTTTTAGCTTAATTGGGCAGAGTTTCTCTCCAAAGGAACGGCTGAATAGAGAGAATAATGTGTTTGTGGCAGCAATGGAAGTCAGCAAGCAGGGTATTTGGGTGGAAACGTACAGAGGATGCAAATTCTGAACTCAAAAGATGAGTATTTTGGTTTTACTCATCCAGAAAGTGTCTGTTCCCATTGCAGGCAGAGCTGAAAGGATTGAATAGAGCAGCGGAGGAAATCCCGCGATCCTTGGCAATGCCACTGAGCTGCGCTTGTGCGAGCTCTGCTCTGCCTCTCTGGTTTTAGGCTTTACAGCTGACGCTTCCACAAAAATCAGAAATCTTAAAATTACACTAAGACTTACTTAAATCATTATCTTTTATTATATGAATGTTGGCAGCAACGGAGGCAGTTTCCTGCGCAGGGACAAAAGGATCCTATTGTCAGTACTGGAACAGATCTAAACCAGCTCAATTAAGCAAACATAACATCCTCAAAGTTTGGCCTGAAAGGAAGTTAAAATAACTGATCTATAAAATGTTTTAAATGTGCTTTAAAATGTCATTACTCAGATAAATCTAGCTGTTTCGAAGCTGGTTCACTACAGTTTTATGGCCCTGCCAGTTTATGGCAGTATACATATTGATGTGAAGAATGCCTCTTCCAGAACAGTAGATGAGGAGACAAAGCCACAGTAGCGCTGCGGACTGAGGGGAGGCTGCAACCAGCTCGGGAATGGAGTTTTGGCTCCCAGGCTGGGAAAGCTGCTCCGAAGCACATCCAGCAAGTTGAGTGTGTTTGTGGCAGAGCTGGAAACCAACCGATATTTCATGATATAAGGCTGGATGTGTTGAAGTTAGTGGTAAAGCTTCTGTTGGCTGCAAGACTGGCACTGTAAAGCAGGATCGTTTTTCTTTTTTTATGTGTCTCTTCCCTTCCCCTTGCTGGAAGCACCTCTGACTTACACTGGGTCTAAATGCAGAGAACTGGGACCATACTGAGAAATACCAGAGGATCCTCCTTCTAAAATTAGTCTAGGCATACGGAAGCGTAGTAGGCATCAGTTTAGGTCAATAAAGGTCTTTCCACTGATGCTTTGCTGGACTTCAGATCAGTGCATGAAGCAAATATACTTATGAATTTGTAATCGCTTGTGAAAGATGGTAGTTTGACTCCAAATTGCTGATGATTTAAGCCTCTGGATCAGCAAATACATCTACATAAACTGGCACAACTCTGCTCACAGTTCAAAGTAAACAAGAACCAAAAATTGCTGGTATGCCCTGAAGATATAATGTTTAGTTAATACAGGGATTTAGACTGTTATTTTTTTTTCAGCTGCCTCCATAGCAATGCGGTGTGGTATCCACAGTAGGAAACCTCATGCCAGCAGCATCTCTGAAATATGCTAAAACAATCTAAATTAGAAAATGTCAGCTTCTTGGCTGATGTTCCTTTGGAGTTTCTTTCTTCCTTTCTTGTGCCTCTATAATTTTATTGGGATGACTAAATCTCTGAACTATGTTAGCAGTAAACAGAACTAATTTACCCCCTGCTTCTTTGAAACAGCTGCTGACAGCTGCACTATAATTCAATCATGGATCTTTGCAGTGCAGACTGCAAAACATATTCATATTTTTTGTATTCTTCCCTCTCTGTTGTATTTGGACTGAGGGAGTCGCACCAAATAGCGACATGTGCCGGTTTTGCCTGTACGTAGAGATTGATCTACGTGAAAACAGAGGCTCAGGATGAAATACTGCCCAGCCAAAAAGGTTCTTTGAATATAGGGAGAATAACCACGCAGATACACAATGTTGTTGGGATATCTTTTGCAAAGTTGCAATGATTTATTTTACTAGTTTGTACAAAAGGCTTCTGACAACTCCTGTATGAAAAGAACCAGAAACGTGTATGCATTTTTGCCAACTGTTAATAAATATCTTCTTAAATAAGGAAACAAATGTGTTTAGGAACCGAGAATCATTTTTCCTGGATGTGACTGAAAAGGAATTCCGAGGTGGAAATAAATAATTCTTCTTCCGCTTGTGACAACTATTTACATAAAAATGTACAAACAGTGAAGCTGATGTTGAGCCTAGCAACAGAAATCCTGTTATTATGTTTCAAAAAAAACAAAACCAAAACAAAACAGAAACAATCCCCACATAATATTTAATATATGAATCCTATACAGCAAGATACCGTGGTCCGAGTTAAAAATGCAATACACCAACGCAGTGACCACCAACACTGAAACACCCGCAAGAAAAACTAATCCTTGACTACTAAATAGTGGAAGTTTAGGCATGATTAGCTTTTAACTTTCTAGGCAGCACCTTAACCTCCTTCAGGAGGTTTACAGAAGCACTGGTGTATATACGTATACAATGTCAAAAGACACTTCCAATCTGTGTGATTTCAGTACCTCGCTCTAAATAAGAGGCGCACCGAGGGCGGTTTTGGCTGTTTATCATAGATGGTCTTGTCTGCAGGCTCCAGGGGGAGATGGGCTTTGGGCCGCAGCTGTTGTCCTGCCGTTTGGCTGCGTGTGGTCCAAGTCTCACCTTGGGGCAGCTGGGAAGTTTGCTGGAGTTGCACTTGCAGAGCCTGTGTGCTGCGGCCAGGCTGGTCCTGCAGAAGTTTGAGTTGCCTGGGCTGGAAGCTGGTCACATCTGGCAATGTGGCAACTGCTCACCGAGGCCCCGGTCCAAAACCTACCAATGTCATGGAGAGAATTCCACTTTCCCATGAGCCTAATCCTGCTACTTAGAAAACTGCTGGGAAAACACCAATTGACTTAAATGAGATTAGTATTAGACCATCAGAAACAAGTTTCCAATTTATTTCATAGACAGTAATTTTTTTCTTCCTTTGCTTATTCTTTGTAAAGTGAGGCATCTGGTCTGGATTTGATCTGTGACTTAAAGGAAGAAGAGCAGTGAGTGATTTCCAGAATCGGGCGGTTGCGTTCATTTATCTTCTTTCTCTAGCTCTTCTCTAAGGCAAGATACGGAGCCAAGTTCCCACTGCGGCTGCATCGCCCTGTCCACTCACTGAGCAGAGGGAACCATCTCCATGGATTTATTATGTTCTGGACCCATCTGTTGGAGGTTTAGGTTTTTGAAGTTTGGAGATTTAGAGCTGGATGTGCTGTGGACCTGGTGTTTTATTGGACAGAATTTTCTTTTTTATCTCCCTGGTGAAATTTATGCCAATCCTACTTTTGTAACCACAGCGTATGCCAAAGCGTTGAATTGGTTTGTGATTGGTTAGTGCTACTTTGTATTCTTCTTCACAACAACTTTAATTGAGTTTTAATTACGTAAGTGTGATGTTTGTGTAACCTGTGACTTTAAAAAAAGGAAAAAGAAAAGCCTTGAGGGGACATTTTCTTGCTCCTGGTTCCAGTTTGTTGGTGTGGCTCTTGAAAAGGACATTTTTTTAATTATTATTTTTTATTTTTAAAAGGTGAAGCCAATAGTAGAGCAGGGGTTTTATCGTAAACACTGACCCTGGGCAGTAACGTTTCCTAGCTTGTTTCTAGCTGGGTCTGTGTGGTGCTGGGTGTATGTCCCAGCTGACAGCACCTTCTGCACTTGAGCCTCCACATTGTCAAAAAAGCATTGGAACTTGTTCTGTCAGTGAAGTCAATGGACATTTTCCAAACAGAAGCAGGATCTTTAGCTGGCTTTCACAACTCTGTAACTGCTTAGGATACCCCAGCTAAACATTAGGTTTAATCCCTGTTTCTTAACATTTTGCTGCTTTCCTGTTTCAAGTTCATAGCAAATTCAAATTCTTTCTGGTTGCTAGAGGAAATTTCCTTCCCTGTTGAAAAAAGTATACCCAAAAAGTCTTGCTCTTTGGAATTATTTTCTTCAGTTCTTTTGCTTGCCAATTAGAATTTTTTTTTTTCTTAGACTGATCTGTCCTTTGAATTTGCATCGATCCAGATATAGGTTTTGCTACTATAGTTTAAAACTAAAAGTTGCACGTAATTAATCTTTGGTTTTGCTTATGAAATTCAAGCAAACAGAGGGATGGAAGTAATAATTCTCTAACAAAATACCTGTTCACTCCAGGTATATTTTGTTCACTTATTTTATTGCAAACTGTGTTACAGGAACTACACATGCTTATTAGTCACAGCACATTCTCACCTTGGATAGATTATTATTTTTTAACTCGCAATCAACACTGAGTTTGCAATCTTCAGAAAGACTCATTTGCAAAAGTATGTATTGTAGGAGCCAATTTTGTAGGCAGATTTGGTTTTAAATGGTTTCTCTGGCTTGTTTCAGTTTACAAGCTCATTGTCTGTAATAAACTAAAACAAAATGTGTTCAAATACCACTTAGATCCAGAAACTGTTCCATTGTCTGAACTTTCAGAAGCCCGGTCCTAAAAACTGTTTGGGATTTTTTTAAACCCATTGCTGGAGTGCTAACCTTTTCCCTTCCCCCATATAGCCATACAAAACCACTCTTTACAAATAACTTTTTTTTTCTTTCCTACAAATCTAATGACAGCCACATGCTCGTACCACCATGTTCCTGTATTTTTTTAAGATAACATTGGAGCTGTCATCAAAATAGAGCACTGAGATGGCATTGAGTTGTGTAGGAGCGCAGCAGGGTTTCGGCACAGTCTCTGGGTTTATAAAGTGAACCTGGGGAATGAAAGTAGAGGCGTGTTAAGATTTACTTTTCCCCTCTCCTCCCCCATATTTTTCTTTCCCAGGCAACCTTCTTCTGTCTGTCCCATACACTCACTCTGACATGTTTTGAACACCTGGCTTTGTGTACAAACGTTTTGAGATGTCCCCTGCCTGTACAGAGGCTGACGCAAGCACCCAAGTCAGATCTAGTTGGAAATCTTTCAGTGAGGCAGGTTTTCATTAGAAAATTCCCATTTGTCAGAGCAGTCAGCATTCTGCAGAAGTGTACCAGTTACGATAAACTCTGTGGGACGTGCGGGCGAGGTTTTGTGAGAAATCCCATCAGCCCTGGGCGGGGGGGCCCCTGTCCCTGTGGCTGGCAGCACTGAGACCCAGCTGGGGCCAAGGGCTCCGCATCCCCTGTGCTCCCTGCTGTGGGACCTCCGAGGAGAGGGGGGAAAAAAGCAAATAAAAAGCAATCTACCAGGAGAAAAACACACAGATACTTCTTCCCTTGGGAATGTAGATGCTTCTAGTTTTCTTAATGCTTTTTGCAACGTTGTCCTTAGATGTGCATGGGATGTAGATGCCTGGGCTGTTAAGCTGGACCCGAACTGGGTAGGGATGGGCATCCAGGCAGGTCAGCTGGGGGCCCTGCCTGGCCGGGGTACTCAGAACCAATGTGTCTTCTGGCCCGTGCCAAGAGCTGTGGTGCATTGGCTTTGGTGACACAGCTGGAGCTGGGTGGCCCCCAGCCAACGGTCCCCCTGAGCACAGGCGCTGTGGCATGAGGACACGCCAGCTCGGGGCTCCCATCTGGACATCTTTGCACAATTTCATAAAACAAATACACCCACAGAGCAGCTGGGCTGTGTAATTTGGGGATTCGCTGACCCCTTTCTCAGTCTGCCTCCAAATCCGCTTTTGGCGGCAGCGTACAGTTTATCCTTACAGAGTTTTTCCAAGAGGTGCTGACAGTGGGTCTCGCGTCCTGCTCTTTCCTTCCCATGCAGTGGGACTATACCACCATTGAGATGCCTATCGTTGGGCCCTTTTAAACTAGAGAGAGCATGTTAATGCTTGCAGCAAAGACAGGGTAATTCCTAGCCAACTGTTAATTCAGGCCACTTGGCTAGACATGTTGAGCCAGATGCTGCAGGCATCTTAATGAGCTAATGCAGACCTTCCTTCTCTTGTTAGCTTAGAGATTTTTTTTGCATACAAACTTCTTTCTGAGTAGCACCTATCAGATATAATACTGTAGTAGGAGCTACAGTGCACCTACCAGTGTCTGTACAATGGCATGATTTGTAGCATTCATGTATGAATTCAACGGGAAAGCACATTCTCCTTCACAGTAATACGCAGCGTAGCCCTCCGGAGCAATGATCCAGTCCTTGATTAAATTGAGTACGTTAGAATGTGGAGAAAGACAGAAATATTGTGCAGTGAAACAAAGAGTAAAACAACACATAGAACTATCAATCATACATTCACATGCAATTACAGTGGCCTGCAAAATAAAATCTGGTACGCTGGCCTTTCTAATGCTATCTTGTACACCTCTAAAGCAGCTGCTTTTCCTGGAGGGACACATCCCACTTTGCAAATGTGCCCATAGAGTAGGTGAACTTCAGGGTTTAGTTTATCCATTCAGCAGTGTCCTCCTGGCTGTCCAAAAGGATCACTTCACCCATCACTGAAATGCAGGTACAAGCTTTCAGAAATGAAAATGTCTTTAACGAGATTTAAAAGAATTGATAGATGAAAATGGAGAGAGCCATATGTGCGTTCAGCACTGCCGGAGGAAATTCAGGGCCACAGTTTCTCAAAAGGACCTAAGTGTTTTGAGTTTCTAGACGGTCTCACACTAAATATTTATATACCCTAACTTTGCAGAAGCACTTCTCAAGCATGCTAAAGGCAATATACAAATTTTTTTCCCCTTGGGGATAAAAAAAAAAAAAATAATCAACTTATTGGGTTGATCTCACTATTGCAGCTCGATAAGCGATCTGCAAAGGCACCCCAGCTCACACCCCGGTCACGCACAGCCTTACCTGCCACCCTAGGTCCCTGAAGCTGACGTAGAGCTCGTGCTTCTTGCAGGCTTGTCGCTGGTCGCTGCTGCTGTTCTCTGCACGGGGAGAATGGGTGGCCATAAGGCTGGGCTGCCCCTGCGCTTGCTGCATGCCCCAGTACCCACAGCAATGCCCCAACAGGGAGTGAGGCATCACTGCTCAGCTGTCGCACTTAAGGCTTGCTTTTTTTTTTTAAACACTTTCAGTTTTAGTCATAAAATAATGGCTGGGTTCAATACGTATGAAATGCCCCTCTGGCGCTTTGTGCAGCGCCAAAAAAGGCCTGAGAAAATAAATTATTTTTTTTTCTTTTTTCCCTGGGCCTCCTCTGACCTCATATTAGCAAAAAGCAGATTTCTCTGATTATTGCCTACTATATAAAAGGAGAACCTATGAAACGAGTGACAGGGAAAGGCACCCTTTACCTATTTTCTAAATTCCTGTCTTTGAATCACCTGCATTACTAGTGATAGTTGCAACTTCAGGCCTACAAAAGCAACACACAACATTAAGATAATGTGGAATCTGTTGTTCTGTCCAGTGCGGCTGGATCCAGAATACAGACTTCTTGCAACGGGTGACAATGCTGAAGCCAAAGAATAAAGCATGGACCTGAATTGTGGATCTGAACAACCATGACTATCAGTGTAGTTTTAAAGTTGTGTCCATCCTGGACATATAGCCTGAGCTGGAGACCCAAGTAGAAGTACCAGAAAAATATTTTTTCAACACTTGTTGTTGGAAGCTAACTCACTACAGGGTTCCCAAGCTGGAATCAGGATGCTGGTTACAGGGACTTTTCTAACCTACTCACAGAAGTAAGAAATTCTTTTGTCCGCTACCCATCCTTTAAAAATTGAATTGATATAGCAAATAGATGATAAAAATGCACACTTAAAACTGCAGACCATCTATGCCTGTGGAACTGCAAAACCCAGAGCTCAGAAACATAAGCTATGGAAAACCTTTTTAAGAGACTCTTGGATTTCAGGTGAGAGGTACAGAAATACATACACGTGGGCAGGTCAGAGAAGCCACACCGATCACCAGGGCTGCAGAAAAACATCACTAGTTCTAGGACAGGAATGACCTGATTAAATATAGGGAAGCTGCAACAAGACTGATGGGAGAGAGTTCTCCCATAACCTCGCAGGTAACCCCAAGCGATCCAAGGCAAAGGTGAGTCGCATAAGATGATATTGTGCCCTGTGTTGTCATTTTCCTTCCACCTCTTGTAAGCCTGCCTTCCATTCAGTGAAGTGCTGGTAGAAATAGAGCTGGAATTTGCCCCTGCCCTCAGCAGAGATGGCCCTGTGCTGTGGTTCCTGCTGGGAAGGTCACCAAGGGCCCGTTATTCTGAGGTATCTCATAAGAAAGCCACGTTTCTATTTCAAATGCCTGACGGAGTTTTCTTCCATATTAGGAAGCACAGCTCCCCCCAGAATAGCTGTGGTTATCCTGAGCAATGAATGGGTTTTCTTCTACTGTGCAAAATTTTTGGGACTACTTTTGGGGGGCTAGACTTAAAATCACAAACTCTGAAAATCTACAGCATTTTGATTCAGATCCACTGAAATGTACTGTCATTTTGATCATTCATTGCTGTAATGTAATTATCTTGCATTTCAAAATGTGAGTTTATTTTATGTGGGAGAAAAGGAGATATTCTGGTTAGGTGCCGCTTTTTTTTTAAATTGGATTAAGAAATTCCTCAGCTTAGCATTGTTTCGAAGAAACACTATTTTTCCAGCTTCTTTTGAATAATCCCTAATCCCAAGTAGTTTCAAACCAGCAACTGAACACTAGTGGTAGACCAAAGAGACAACAAACAGACTGAATGTGGGAGAAACCATTCCCACGTTATCCCAAGCCCAGAAACATGGACCCCGGCAGCCCGCGCTGTACCTGCGATGTTGGACACCCGGAAAGCTTCCTGGTTCTTTGGCGTTTTTGATCGATTCTGGCTCCTTTGCTTCCCTCCCGTGGAGCGAATACTGCGGAGGTGGACCTCGGTGGCTTTGAAGAAGGCTACTGTGAACGGCTGCTTGTTCTGCGGGCCGTGCCTTCCAATAAGACCCGCCAGTTTGGGATTGATGCTTTGCCCTTAATAACAGAATGGACTGATAAGAGAGCCTGCAGTAACTTTTCATTTTCGGCAGATGTAGTAAGGATAACAAGGAGGAGAGCTGCTGTCTGGCTGGTAAGGGCGATTCCTAGGCACGTCTGTATGCGTCGATCCACCAAGGGCCTGGACTTAATCGGCAAAGCTGCTTCTGACAAGAGCAGCTCAGCACAGCTAACTTCATTTTATATCTGCGTGTAAAAGTTACATAAAATAGTCCTACATATAATTATTTTACCCTAAATCCGCTTAGCATTAACTTTTCCTGCATTCTTTAGAGGGGTTTCTTTAAGTTCACCAACCTATAATTTGAAGCGATCCTATAAAAGGAACCATAAAACTCAGCCCATAGGAACACTAAATTCCCACTGGAAGGTTATTAACTTAAAATAAAAATGCCTTGTATGAAATGTTGACAGAGTTCCAGATACACTGTAGCTGAGAGAAACAAATAGTTCAGATCTTTAGAGACATTTTGCTTATTGCTGCATCCCAGCACTACTGTACCTGATAACTTTCTTGCAAAACTGTTGATTACCGTTCATGCTTTCTTCATCCTGGGCTTTTAAAATAATTTGATTTTTGGTAAAAGATGATTAGGTGGTTTCTCTGTAGAACTAGACCAATTATTTACAAAAAACACAAGGAAGGGGTGGCAGTGGGAAATTTAATATTTTTCCCTGTTGTCTCCAAAGGATGTCTGGGTGCTGTTGTGAAATGCAGAGGTGATATCCAGAATTATCCTGTTCCAAGCTACCGAGTACTGCTGCTAAGTCAAAGCTATGTTAATGGCTTTTGTGATCCTTTTGCTAAGGACAGAGCTGGCCTTGTCAGCCACAAATCAAATATGCCAAAGGACAGCTGACACTTTCCTAGAGAAGCCCTGAAAGGCAGCCTGGCCAGGGAGAGCAGGTGAGGGGCTCTACAGTCTACTGACAAAAATGTCCTTATCTTACTCGTTTCTGACTACTGTGTCAAAAGCAGCTGGTAACCTGAAACATTTCTAGGTAATATTCTATAACTGCTGTTTTTAAGATGAGTAAAGTAAATGCTAACGCTTATAAACTATTGACTTTATGGAATTGTTTCCATCTTTGCTCTTGCGTGTGGCCAAAAGATAGGTAAATGTGACAGACGCAGAAAAAGGGGGCTGTGGTCAAAGCTTGAGGCCAAGAAATGGACCAGCCTCAGGCTGGAGTCCATTTTCTGTTTTTCTAAAAGTGTGCAGCCCAGTGAGTAAGTCCCAAGCTGTAATACATGGGATTTGTGGAGAGGACTGGCTCAAGAGGTGTTTTAATGGAAGCTTGGCAGCAGGACAACTGCCCAGCATGGCCAGGCCTTGCAAACTAGATAAAGCAAAACGAATTTTGGGACAGGGCACCAGGAAAGCTTGGGTAAAAATAGCAAATGTAAAAACTCATGTACGTAGATTTATACGTGGACACACATCAACAACTTCTTCATCTTCTGCTTAAGCTACTTTCCGGAAACTTGTCCAAACAGTTTTCATTTTAAACATTTGAGGCTGAGCCCACAAAGTGCTTAAGCAAGTAGCTAATGCTAAATATATAAGTAGTTCCACTTGTGCCCAGGCTCTGCTGGATTGAAGCCTTATTTCCTGAAAACAAGCTCAGCTGCAGGAGTTAGAGCTCACTGAATACTGCTCCTATGGCTTTTCCTGCCCCTTTAAAGAAGTCTTTCTGCTTCCCAAAGCTGTTTAAACTAGCAAGTACCTCTACAGCTGTGGTTTTTCCAGTGTAAATTATTTTACCTTTACCATGTCTCTCTAGAGTAGGTCGGCAGTATGCAGTGAGGGGACCCAACTTCACACTGATATGTTTAATGGATTTGCATTAGTGCAGCAATAAGTAGCATTTGCCCAATGAATTCCTCATCTAACACCAAGATGTCACGTTCAAGACCAGCGTGGTGGCAGTGTCCCCTTGGCAGGGGGGGAAAGGCATGTAACACTCTGTATGCAAAGTAGCATATTTCTTTTTAATAAAGATGAGAAAAAATCCCTTTCTAACTTTCCTATACATCTGGAAAGCAAGGTTAAACACAAGGACGCATGTGTAGTCGCCACTAGACAATGATAAACTTCTCCCAAAAGAACTAGAACTGTGCTCTTGAACCAGAGGGCATGGCTTTATCTGCTTTTATGAAGCTACTTTTTAAAATCTGTCAAAAATGGGATCTTAAGTAATAAACTAAGTAAACTTAAGTGGGCAGCTGCTGTTCCCATGTGCTGCTGCCAAGCAAGGCGTATCGGGTGCTGGGCTGAGAGCTCGCTGAAGGCTACTGAGTCACTCAAACATTTCTTTTGCTTGCTGCTTGAGTTGATCTCCATTTTCTAAGAGTAAGCAAATACCCTTTGATTCCACCCTAGTTATACATGTTGATAGACTTATCTGGCAAGATTATAAAGAAATACAAAGATCAGTTAATTAATTTCTTTTGTATAATTTCATCTGAACGGTGCTTGTGACATCAGAATTTTTTTAAATAGACTTCATGATTACAGATCTCTATGTAACAACAGATACAAAGGAAAGGGTTTTTCTTCTAATTCACTTAAAGCTCTGGGGGTTGCCCAAGCATATAGTGTTGCATCAAAATTCTGCTGTTTGCAGCACATGATTTTCATAAGTCCAGGTGTAAAAGCAGCTTTCTTGTTAGTCCACACAGTTGGTCTAAATCCAAAGTGAAACTTGGGGAGCAAGGAAGGACATGTCCTCGCCATTCAAAATGGAAACAAAAATTCACGTGTGTGGTGGAGAAATGCGAGTGCAAAGGTGCACTGCCAGGGGACTTGGTTACAGAAGACAAGCAGACAACTGGTTCCTGTATCTCTATATTTACTTCTTAAACATTGCAGTTGGCTTTTCTAGCTTTAATGACAGGATGATTAAAGTATTTTGTTAATCTATTTTGAGAAAGCAGTAAGTTACTTAGCAAAGGGTGGAAATCATATATAAACTCAGTTAGATTTCTCAGGAGTGCAAAAAGAAATCGGATTCCTAGTTTTCATTGAGTCGAATAACAGATGAGAATGCTCTTATCACTGAACCTGGGAGTTTCTGTCTTTGAAAGCTCTCTCTGTGATAGATCTGGCTGTATGCTTTTAAGGGTCCACTTCTAATTGCTCCAGCAGAGCAGACGGGGTTACTGTGTGTGCAAAGTTGCAGCGTTTCCTTGGATGCAGGACCCTGACAAGTCTCCACTGAAATCTGTAACATTCATAAATCTGCTGCCTTCCTCCTTAATGCTGAAAAATGGGATTTGCTGTAAAATCACTAGGTGAGGATGGGGGAGGACAGAGCGATAAGAAGACTTTATTGGCAGAAGAGTGTGAGTGTAACACTGTGGTATCCATAGCATTTAGATATATTAAGCCTACTTCTAGCTATCACTTTTCTGTGGACTCTGGGCTGGGTCTTGATGGTTTTCCTATACGTGAACCACAATTGAACAAATGTGCCATGATCGTGGACACAACTTCTGTACTTCCAGTTATTTCATTTAGGAGGCAAACTGGAAATTAAAACCAAGGACAAGTGTTTGAAAACAGGTTAAGCTTGTCTTAGCTGTTAATTCACCTTACTGTTTTAACTTTAAGAGTTAAGATTAACTTGTAAATCAGGTTGAATTTGAATCTTTATACAAAGATGGCAAAAGGCATCTATCATTGGGGTGGAGACTAGTAACTTCCATGGTGAAGCTCCAGCTTTGTATCTGTGTTTGGGTTTCTGTATTCACTGATCACTCAGGGCAGGTTAAAACAAACCCTGTGCACCTCTCTGTGCGCAGGTGTCACATGAATAAAATCACTCTTTCATGCAAATGATTCTCTGTAGGTTGCCTGTTTCAAAACTGCTTTGCACAGTCTTTATGCAAAATACTACTTACTGGAAATGTTCAGAGTGTTGCATAAAAACCAATAGCAAGTGATATCATAGATGCATATCTGGAGAATGAAAGTATGTCCTTAGATAACTATATTCTGAGTACTTATAGTAGTTTTGAGCTGGGTTTTTCTTAACCTCTCTTGTGGGGCAGCCAGGCTGTTTCAGATGGTCCCAGGTCCTGGGAACCCTCCAGAAGATCCAGAATACTTTGGTTTCCTTGCCCAAGTCTCCAAGTGAGCATCAGGAATCTTAACTTTAAGATAAAGCAGCATGACTTTTTAGTTAAGACCAGGTTAGGAAAATTCCCTGCCTGATTCTAAACACATCCTTTCTGGAGATATTTCAGAGCCAGGTCTTCCCACCCATTCCCAAACCTCACAGGTCTGTACCATAAGCACACTGCAGACCTTGGACTCCAGACCAGGCATGACTTTACTAGTAATTTCTGCTGCCACAAAGGCAATTAAAATGGTTCCTAGCTGTCTTCTGAATTTGAAAAGACTTTTGTGCCAATTAACACCAGTCTTCTACATCACTCAGTTGTGTCTTTTCGCACATAGCAAAGTTTCTTCCTCTCTCCTCGACTGGATTATACTACCTGCAAATTAGCCAGCAGCGTATACATACCTTGATGACAATGTGTACATAGCTAATACTGAAATGACTGCAGACAGGTTCCCAATCTGTTAAAGCATTTGAGTACATCCTTAACTTGAAATACATCTACAGATTATTTTTTTATTATTGTTATTTCCATCTTAGGCAAATCCAGGAAAAACATGCTTAAGAAATCCTGTTCAAAGGAAAGAGTACTGAATGCTAAAGGCTTCCCCTGGCTGGCAGTCGTGTACCTGGAACAGACTCACTGATTGATGTTGGTGTCTGACACTCACCGTCGATGCCTTCCACGGATAGCTGCAGGCCAAGATTGTGTTGGGGATTCACCACCCAGTGATTACTGGTTGCGGTAATGTCAAACACCAGCCACCCTTCTTCTGCAGCCCAGATTGTTCGAGAGTCAAGCAGGAACAAATCTGAATCCCTGAAATAAAGCAGCATAATTCCCAGTTACCCAGGCTTTCCACTGCATTCTCTATAGGCATCCACGTACATGCTTTAAGCAACACCACTTGGTCAGCCTTTCAAGCAATAGGCAGATTATGCCGGAGCTGGGCTGGCATGCTTTCCCTCCTAATCACCTTCAGATGGAGCGCTTTTCTTCCCTTCAAAAAAGGGAGGATGGGTTGAAGGAGAGTTGAGGTGGTTTGGGGTTACTTTGGTGTTACAGTTAACCTTAGAGCTGCTGATGCAACTTCAGAAAAAACACTTGCCAGGCACAGATTTGCAAAATTATTGTTTGCATATGCAAAGTTGGTAATTGGGCAGACAATGCTGCTCATTATCCTTTCCACACATAATTTCCTGACGTTTATGCATAATTGTACCATTGGTGCAAGCCAGCTGGAACACGGGTGTGCATACATTAACATATGTAATGGTTTTCTAAATTTGTTCGTCTGAGGTTACAGATGATTGATTGAGGCAATAACCCTCTGCACAGTCACAGGTCTGCATTACTTTGGGTGGCAATTTTCTTCCAATTCATTGCTTAATTTTTTTAAAGGCTACTGCTGAGTTATTCTAGTTGAAGAACTAATATCAGAAAATGATAAAGATCCGAAATAGAGAGGATTTTGTGCATGTGAAAAGGGTGAAATCATTCTGGATTTACAAAACATTTCCTGGCAAATTTCTGTAAAATGAAAATTTGAGAAAACACAGATTCTGTAAAGGAAGGAATCTTCTCTTATCAGAAATCAAGAAAGAGATAAAACTTGGATGAAAAAATTGGATAGTGGTGCAGTGCCTTTATAAAAAAACGACTTTACGAGAAGAACAAAGAAACACGGTGGAAGTGTCTAGACAAGTCCCGTAAGAGCTGCTTTTGTACTTGCAGTGCACAAACATGATAACTTGTTTAAGTGTAATTATATCCTTTTGAATGCAGAAATATCCTTGGAAAACCCTTTAATCATGTCCTCAAAGCTTAAAGAAGGCCTTATTAATTTTGTCACTATTGATTTGTCAGTGCAAATATAGATATTTAATATAGTTTAAACAGGGCCTCTTGTTTGCACGAATTATCAAGTGATCAAAAATGAATCTGAGAAGTGCTGTCGGCATAGAGGCTTTTGTCTCGTAGCTTTTAGTGATTCTTGTCCCTGTGAGATACCAAGAAATGAGAGGCTTTTGTCCCACACAGCTGACTCAGAAATGGAGTTTTATTGCAATGTTTTTACTATCTAGCTTTCCTTTCAACCCTTGTGGGCCAGAGTGTGTAAGAGAGAATGGCTTTCCTCCATGAGCTAAGAGATGTCACTGCCTCTGGCTCTGTGCTGGCTTACACGAAATTAAATTTCTGAAATTAGTTCCTGCAGAGCATGTGAGCACATCGCCCGGCACGCATAAGAGGAGGAACCTGCCCTTTCCTCACCAATGCACGATACCTGGCTGAAGATGTAGATGCAGCCAATGCTGCTGAGGGTGCAATTAGTGCTGCATGTGGCACCCTGAGGGAAAGCAGTGGCTTTCTGTGTCAGCTCAGTTCAGAAAGAGGAGGCAAGGTCTGGTGCTTGCAAGAGATGTTTTGCAGGTGTGGGATTATAACGATTGTAATTCCTCCCCTCGCCCGGCACGTCCCTGCCATGGAGGAAGGCACCAAGAGGGAGTTTGCTTTCTTGTAAACAAAGTTTTGGGTTGTGGAAGTGAGCCTTACATCAGAACTGAACTTGCCGCAACACTTCCTCGGCACTGGGGATCCTATGGGGAGTATCTCAGCTGGTGTTTGGGCAGCCAAAGCGAGTGGCTCAGGAAGGAGCCGCGGTGCAGCGTTGGAGAGGCTCAACCCAGGTGTTAGGAGCTGCTCTCTGGAGCTCAGTCAGCTTTGCTGAGTGCACCTAGGACAGCTGAAGATAAACAGCACGGATAACCCCCTCCCTCCACATACGCATTAGTTACAGGAATGTAAGATGCTTGAACTCTAACCGGGGGACAAATTTCCTGGGGTTTCGTCCCCACCCAGAAGCAATGGCCCTGTTCCCACAGTGCATGACACAGCCGCGTGGACACCTCCCGCCCTTCCCTGTTTACAACACACTGAACAAAACACATCCCAGAAGAGCCAGGGACGAGGGAGTAGTACAGATTGGCCCGTTCCAATGGCTGAGTCCAAGTTTCCAGAAGTAAAGGGTTTTTATATTCACATACTGCATCATTTAAGCATGGCCCCTGACTGGAACTCATGATTCACACAAGGTTTAGTTAACAGGGACTTGGCTTGCTTGGTTTTTCTCCCTTGTAGTTTGCAGGTTGAAGATAATAGCAATAATGATAACTTTTTTTGGTTTTAGCTACTGCTCAACTGAAGTATTATTACTCAGAAAAACCAGCCTTTAAGCTTCCCATGCTGACATGATGCAATCAGGGTAACCAGACAACATGAGGCATCAAGTACCAGGGTGAGTCAGTCTGGGAAATTGTATAATGCGTTTGTTTTCCTGTAGTTACAGCAATGTGCAAACAATAGGCCTGGAGGGGAAGCCCGAAGTGAGAGAGATCAAAGGGACCCACTAAAGGGAAATGTCCTTCCCACACACACTTGGAACATTTGGACCCAAAAAGGACCTGTTTCAGATGCTCTCTGGTGAAGTTCAAGCACTCCTGGATTAGCACTTTCCACTCTGGCCCACCAGCAGCTGCCAGGGATGGGATGCAAAACCTGACTGGTGTTGCAAGCAGAGGCTCCTGAGATTGTGGCGCCTGCTCCGATGTAAAGCAACCTCTTGTTCTTTTTAAAAGAACAACCTCTCTTTAAGTGAAATGCCCTGCTCTCCAAAGGCTTATAGCAAACAACGTTAAATCACTAGCTAATAGACAGCAGGCCCTTTAGACATCATTGTTGGACAACACATAATAAACATGGCAAAGAAATGTTATTCTGCTTAGACTTAAACAAAATTTGCTCTGAGGGCTCCCATCTAATGACTTGTCATGAGATAGTGCTAGTTAAGTCTAACTAATGTGGCTGGTTTGAGTTTTAGCTTTGAGATAAAGATCTAAGCACAAAGGGAAAAGGTTTCTAGTGCACATCTTGCGCTCTGCTACCTTACCTACCAACAGTACGCATATTTAGAGCGTTCTTGGAACAATGTGAATAATGGCTCTGCAACCAGGAGGCAGAAAATCACTTTGGTTCTATGGCCCTGCATTCAATCCCTTCATTTGAGAACTTCAGAGCACGTGAGAAACTATACGGAACCTCTTACCAGACCAAGAGATAGGAAAAGGCACATGATCCTCATTTTACAGAAAATTAAGCTGGGATGTGGAAATGTTAATGTCTAGATTAGAGTTACATAAATTATGAAGGCTGGATCCAGACCACAAGTATGTTTTGTTGAGACCACATCAAAATGGTTCAGCGTTCAAAGTACTGACATCAGCAGGAGTGTCAAAGCTTTTAGCAATGATAAAACTCAGGGCTTTCAGCTCAGTTTTCTCAAGCATCAGGCTGTCAGGGGAGCCTAAGATGAGGACAGGAGGTTGGCACTTGTCTACTGATCACTTTGGTAGTGTCTGGCACTGGATGACAGAAAGGAGAGTCACCTCCCGTTAGAAAGCACTCCCAAAAATTTATCTACAGGTCATATAACTGCTGTGTGGTCTATGAAATTTCCTTAGTGAAGGTGTTTTCTGGACTTAAGGGTGAGTAACAAGTATTGCAAAGTGAGGGTGGCTGGGGAGGATGCATGTGAGATCGTGTCTGGAAAGCAGCTGGAGTTATGGAGGTGGAAGGGCTGAAGCTGCCAAAGGGCTGTGGAGGGCTGGTGGCATGAGTGGGGTAAGAAAAGGAATCACAGGTGATTTTGGGGAGACAAAAGGACTGGAAGAAGTGAGGCATGTGGGGATGAGTGGAGAAATAAGGGGAGACAAAATACAGAAAAGGCAAGTAAGAGTATCCTGAAAGGAAGCAGCGAGGAAGAGAGTTACCAAGTTCCAATGCGGTAATTCTAAGAGAAGAGAAAGGATTAACAACCATGAAGCTTCATGAAAATAGTATGTATGGGCTCTTTGCCTTTTGCTGGGGTATTTTTTCAGCCTCTAGGATGCACTTTGATTTGAAGCCATAAACATTAGAAACATAGCCAAAAATCAGAAGTGCAGCATCTCCCCTAACCACCTGCCTTGGCAAGTCAGGGCACAAGGATGAACATGGACTAGCGAGAGAGACTCAGTGAAAATAGGAGAGTTAGCAATTCTGCAATAGCAAGAGAGAACAGGAGATGAAACTCTGTATTTATAAACTATAATGCTACAAGGTCTACACTTCTTGAGGGTAGCCCTCTCACCAAACAGCCCCTGCTTTTGCGTGTTTTCTTCACTCGCTTTCCCCATCCCCCTCATCGGCTCTGTTATTTCAAGCTGCTGGTTGACAAGTGGTAGTAAACACTAATGAGCACTTCCAAGTGGGATAAAAATAAATGGGAAGGACAGGCAGCAGCAGCAAAGGTGACTCTTGGCAACTTTCATCACATTGCAAGACAAGCTGATTTCTGTGACGTGCTGGCGCTCTGGGTTGGGAGCAGACTGGGAGCCCTGGCTCACCTGGCCGTGTCCTGGCAGCCGCCAGCCCAGGGCCACTGTCACCAGGTCCTGCGGTCCCCTGCCTGCGTTCAGGTCATCTGCCAGCCCAAAGAGCACACTGAGGCTGCCCGACGGCCGCACTGCTCTAACCCCTACCTGCTAGTTTGAGGAATTACAGATCTAACAGTGTTTTAAACAATAACCATACTGTGACACCTAGCAGCAGACTTCGAATAGTTTTACAAATACGGGTCAACCCTCCTGCTTCTGTTTTAAAGTGGGAAACACTTGAGGTATGGATATGTTAAATGTCCTATTGACTCGGTATGTAAACCACAGCCACTGAGCCAGGAGCGTAATCCTGTCCTCTTGACCGGTATTCTAACCCTAGAGGGGCTG